ACACGGTTCGAGGAAGCAGCGTCTACGAAATAAACCTGAATAAGAGTTATTTGTTCGAACGTTACGGATGGCACCCCGAACTCCCACACCACAATTATACAGTACAGCCAGGGTCAAAATAAGGCCGAATTAAAGTCAAAACAACATCAGACTGAGGCCAAAACAAGGTCCGAATAAGGCCGAACTAAGGTCAACATATGGTCAACATAGGGCCGACACGGTCTACATAAGGTCAAAGTAAGGCGGAGAAGATCTAAACAAAGTTCAAAATCATGCCGAAATAAGGTCAAACTAAGGCCGAAGAAGTCAACATAAGGTCAACATAGGGCCGAAATAAAATTCAAATGAGGTCAAAATGCGGCGGGAATAATGTAAAAACAAGATCGAAAACTAAGGCCAGAGTAGGTACTTCCTATGGTTTTGGGCAGGGAGGACCAAGAAGACCGAGACATAGTCAACATGAAGCAGGAAAATGGTCACTCTACAGCCAAGGTAAGGCTTTCTACAGCCAAGGTAAGGCTTTCCTTATGGCTTTTTTCCATCGGGCAGGACCAAAAAGATTCAAACTAAGGTCGGAATACAACCGGAATATCAGTGCCCAACGACGCGGACACACGACCAACAAACAAAGCACAACCTCCGAAAAGGAGAATGGTCCATCCCAAGCAACAAAGACCCTGTCCCCAGAAATAAGCCTTCATGAGACTTATTCCTTTCCGCCACGCGTGGTCCGTCGTTGTCTTCGGGATCCAGATATGCTGGGGGGGACGGGTTTGAGACAGGGGGGGTTTGGCACCTGTGACTTCACCCCCACCGCTTCAGGCATCAGAGCGCTGCTTTGCAAAACCAAAGCCTGTAAGACGCATAAACGAACCCTTAACCCACAAAATGAATTTCATCTTTGTCCGCCCAGCCTCCACGGAATCGCATGCAGTCGACTAAGTGGAGCTCCTCTCCTTGTTTCTTCGGTTCAGGGCTCCTTTAAGGGCTCTATGAGGGAATGTCGGGCTCAGGTTTTGGGATTTAGAGCTCAGGGCTCAGGGCTTGCGTACTCGAGACTGTCTTTAACGTCGCAGCTTTTCGGGACTCGCACGCCCGAATGGCCTGAAGTACCTACATGCAGATACTTGTAAACCGTACATGAAGCTCAAGGCTAGCAGATTCACGGCAGAACGTCGTGAGCCCAAAACTAAAACCCAAAAGCTGCTCCACGCCCTTATGCCCCGCATCCTACACGAAGCCCTAAACCCAACAGCAGACATTTTCCATTCAAACCATAACAGGATCAGCGTTGACTTTCAGCTTACCCCTAACCCCTACATCCTCAACTTTTTTAGATTTCGAAACACTCACACCCTAATTTTCATGTCAGGAACCGCAGGAGATGACCCTTAAACCCTGAACCTTAAACCCTAAAGCCGTATCCCAACATTGACAGCTCAGGTGCCCAGGCCGCGGCCGTCAAGGCAATGCTTCTGGAAGTGGATCCGGCCATGCTCAAACCTGGGTTTAGGGCCTTTAGGGTGTAGGGTATTGTCATCATTTTCCGGGAAGGGCAAGAGGGTGTTAGGGCTTTTCGGGGTTGGGTGTGTGAAGTACCAAACGGTTAAAATCTGGATCATCACTTGCTTGACTTTTTAGTAACTGCTGCATTTTGCTGCTGCGGCTTTGAGCGTCGTGCGACGAGTGTATGGGGTGCCTGGGATTCCTTACTCGGTGTGTATGGGTGCGGTGGCCCCACTGGAGGGCTTCAGGATTTTCGTAGCGTCGTAGCGGGCTTCATGTCGTAAGGTTTTGGGAAGACACAAGCATTTACCGGTAGAAAAGACACAAGTGACTACGTTTGGCTAAGCAGAGCCATGTACTTTCACTGCTCTCCGACGGTTCTGCGAGCACGGAGCCCTCTGCTTCCACCCAGCCCCGTTTAGGGCTTCTCCGGTCTACAAGCACATGGACCCCCTTAAAAAAGGGGCCTTAATAATTAGAATAGGTAGGGTTCTGGGGCCATTATAATGTAATTAAAATAAAGAACCGCCAAAATAGTATAGGTAATTTATTCAGGAAATATATTCGATCCTAAACCCTAAACCCTAA